TCAGACAGTAGCAGGGATATCAGAGTATAAGGGCTCTGGTTCGGGGAGGGAGGCTATGGGAGGGTGCCATCTGGGAAGTGGGTGTATAGAAAATAATTCTTCAAAGCATAAAATTTGCTCCTTAATAACTCGTAGAGGTGAAAAACATTGCCACTGAAATCTACCCGATGACTTTATATCCATGCTCAGATGCTAAGGGGCTCAGAAAGTAACCGACTGTGACTAGTAATAATCAGATATATAGAGATTAGAAATGCACATGCATCCTAGTGTCAGTTGTATTAAAAATGAATTTTTCTGCATGAAACTGTGTATTTTAATAATGAAATGGAGATCTTTTTTAAAAGGAACAATATATTCTAAAATGAAACGCAGATCTTTTTCAAGGTTAAAAACTCATTCAATTTTATGTCTTACTGACAGAAAGGGCTTATACTGAGTTCAATATTGTATAACTGTATTAATTCAATTGTGGAACCTGGAAACTACAGCCACTTGTGAAAGAGATGTACTCTTGCTCTGGAGTGTTACTGAATATGTTAAAGCTGTAATGAAATGCCTCTTCTAATCATGTAGTTATTAAAAATTTTTTAAAAAAGGGACATTTAAAATTTCTCCACCTAGAGCTAGAGTTGGCTCAGTAGTGAAGAGCACTGGCAGCTCTTGCAAAAGACCAGGGTTCAGTTTCCAACACTCACATGGTAGCTAACAACCATCTGTAACTCCAGTTCCAGGAGATCTGATGCTGTTTCCTGGCTCCCGTGGGCCGCCAGACATGTACACAGTGTGCATACATGCAGGCAAAAACATGTAACATAAAATAAAAATTCTCCATCTACACTTGACAATTTATCACCTGGGCTTCAACAAACAGAGCTGATCAGCCAGGTTAGGTACTAAATTCCTTCTACCCAAAACAAAAAGTCAGCTATGTCTACTCAGCAGTGTTTGCTCTGTGAGGTCATGGCCACTGCACTGTATTAACCCGTCTTGGCAATTCTAGCTGTAGCTCTGGTGTCACCTGTGGGCCATGCAATCCCTCTGACAGGGTACAGAGGGATGGATGGGTACATTTGTCTTCTATACTGTGAGGGTGCATTTGTTCTTAATATTGTAGAAAGGCTCTAAGTATTCACTATAAATAGCTCAGCATGTGCACACTAATGGTTTGCTCTGTGTTAACCCCTCTGAATTAACCCCAAGTGTTGCCATGGGAGGAAGGCAAGGCTCAGTGGCCTTGGGAATATGCAAATCTACCTATACAGAGAGAGCAACTATAATGAGGGAGAGGTAAGGAGAGGGATAACAACAGCATAAGCCTCAGAGCCAAGGCTGCCCACCTGACCAGTGGGGCGAGACCGAGCTTTGAAATGACTGCTTTTTCTCTCATGCCCTACAAAGCCTGCTGACTAGTCATGAAATAAAAGGCAACTTTTAGGGAGTTAACCCACTGTCTTCTTAGATGCCAGCCCTTAAATAAAGTAAAATTTGAAGATTCAACTCCTGTCTCTGCTCATTGGTGTTTGTGGGGATGACAGCATGAGTCCTGATGTTCCAGTTACATCTCTAGGACAGTCACCTGTCCGCTGGGGCAGATGTACTGCAGCTGTCACCTCTACTAGTTGCAGAGGGGACAATGAGACTGTACAGTGTGTTTTCTGAGGTGGTACCAGGCTGGCTTCCACCAGTGTGAATCCTTTCTCTCCTGTGTGCTGTAGTGGAGCCCTCATCTCCAGGCATTGCATGACCCCTGCCATCATGAAGCAGAGTCACTATGGTGACCTGCAAAAGCCCTCAGTTAAAGCAAAGAAGCAAGCGGGACACAATGGCAGCAGCCATGGTAAAGGAGGCTGTTAACGCTCTCAGAGATGGAGGGGGATGGTCACGAGACCCTCCTCAGTTTCCAGTCACCACTCTCTCCCGCCCCAGGTGCACATGGTCTTGGTGGGGTGCTAGAGTATAGGAGGGGAAGGTTGACTGGGGGACTCCAGTGATGCGGCTTTAAGATGGGCCACCATGTTGGGGAAGGGGATCTCCCTGTGGTGTGAGTCACTCCACCTTAAGTTCACTAAGTGAACTTGGATGGGGTCCTCTTTTTGGTCTGTCAATGACCTATCTTGGAAAAAGAGGTATTTCTTTACATCTCCCCCAGGAAAAATCAACAACAGGGCATGACACTGTCACCACCCCACTGGCTTCTTGAACCCTGCAAAGGAGAAAGCACACACACCTCTCATTTTTTAAAACAGCTTTATTAAAGGCTAATAGTATAAAATATGACCAAGTTACAAGTTGTAAGAATTTATCATCTTGGAAAATCTGTATCAAAGAGAGGAAGGTGTGAAGAACAGAAGGCCGCTCCTGACAGAGAGGAGGGGTGTACCTGGCCAGGAGGCAGACCCCACTGTTCCTAACAGCATATCCCAGCCCAGAGGGCCAGCGGCTGGGCCCAGGGGCAACCCAGACACAGAGTCCGGGTTCCTGGGAGCTTTCTGTCAGATGCAGTCACCAAAAGCAAGATAGGGAGCCCTGGAGCTGCCTCCCAGGCACTGAGCCTGGGTGTGTAGTAGGGGCCCAAATTATTCACGGGCTTCAGCTTTAAAAACAAAACAAAACAAAACAAAACAAAACAGAACCTCCTAGCTTTAAAAACTCCACCATGACACGAGGAGGGAGGAGGTGGAGAACAGAGGTTCATTTCCATGCATTCCCGGGGGGGGGGGTCAAGAAGTCAGCTCAGCAGGGACTCTGCCCAGGGATGGGTGGGGGCACAAAGCCAAGGTCAGGCAGGTTCTGTAGGACCCCTCCAGGTCTTCCCACCTGTGATTTCCTAGTTGCTCTGAGGGGCCCTCTTAAGAAACACCACTGTAAGAGCCATCAGCCTGTGGGTCCTCACCCAGAGGGTCCCAGTGCTCAGCCCCTTCTCCATGTTCTCACTGGAGGAACCCAGAAGGGAATGAAATTATGAGAACATGGTAAAAAAAAAAATCAGAATTTCTGTCCAGAGGGTGGACGAATCACCTTCTCCCTTCCCTGCAATGCCAACACTACCAGACATAGACCCACAGGGAAGGAAAATGTGCAGAATGGAACTCAACCTGCTGTACTGGGGTGGAAGGCAGGCACTCAGGGGCTGTGCCGGACTCCTCTGAAGAGTGAGTGACAGCCTGGGCTATGCCCACCCTCTTGCCACAGTAGGAGTCTTTCTTCCTTTGCAAAGGTCAACTCTTCTCAAACAGTGGAGAATGAGGAAGGCAAACCAAGCTCGAGAGACCAGGGAAGTCTGGGCTGTACGCTGATTGGCAGGTATCACACTGATGTTGGCTAAGTACAACTTTGGCTTAAATATTCCTGGGGGTGAGTGGGGTCAGGGGTTGCTATGTGCTTTACCTTAGTGCTAGACAGAATATTCCATAAGATATTTCAGAAAGTCCTATGACCAGGCAGTAAGAAGATGATGCCCCTTTGGTACTAAAACCAGGCGCTCGTAAGTGGGGTCACAGGGATTAAGGCTTCAGGTTAGAATGGGCAGGGAGGAGCACACCACACTGCACAGAGCTCATAGATCTGCTTGTCCTGTCCTGCAGTTACACGTGATCCAGGGGTTATGGCAGGGCGGTGGGAAGGACAGAGGACACTGGATTCTGGGTGAGGAACAGATGCATCACCTAGCCTCGGTGTGGGCTCAAGGGAAACAACTGTTGTGAGCTCCCAGGACCACAAAGAGGGTGCTGTTGGGGCCATTAGGAAAGCCTCTTGCCTTTGGCTGAGGCAGAGTCCTTCATGACTAGTTTCTGGGATAAAGGATGGCCACAGCCTGTTAGTGTCATGTTGGAAGTTTCCAACACAGTGAATTAGAAAAGTCCTGTTCTTCAGCCCCATCGTCACTACCCTGTGTCCTGTAGTGGCTGGGCCTGCGGCACCAAACATGTCAGTTATAACAAGAGGTTCCAGGTTTGGGGCAGGGGGGACTCAAAACTAAAAAAGCTGCTGGATCTACATATAAAATAATGAGAAGTTGATATAAAAAAACTACAAACATGCAACTGCTTTAAACAAGAGTCAAAACTCGTAGAGAAGGTATCTGTTTCCTGCTCGTGAGTGGGGGATGGGAGGGGGAAACAGGGTGGCAGAATGCTGGACAAGTGCATTTTAAGGGCAAATCTTCCACAGTGACAGCCAAAAGCAATGTTGTCATAACTGAGAACGTGCCAGCAGTCACCCAACCCACATGAAAGAGGCGGGTAGGCGGCAAAGAGAAGAGGGAACTGTCTTTGAGACTTCTGTCACCTCGTCAGAGAACTTCCTTACAGGAGAAAATGGGATGGAGCTGGGAACAGAAGTTTTATTTTTACAAGACTTACTAAATTCTTGATAGTCCTTAAAAATCCCAAATGTAAAACTTCTGTTATCAAATCCTTGAAAATAGCATATATATCTGGCTTTACCAAAAAAGGGAAATACCTGGTAACATTTCCCAGTTCCCAAAAGACTAAGAAAAAGAGTAGAGAAAACAGCTGCCCTTATCCTCAGTGGGCCACAGTGGCGAATGTTGGGGCTCTTGGCTGTGTGTTTCTGAGGAGCACTGTTTACCAGTTGTCCAGAAAATCAAACCCAGTCTTCAAGAGGATGTTGCTTGAGCTGACCTGCAGAGAGACAAAGGTGTCAAAGTAAGATGGAAGCCTCTGTTTCAGCCAGGTACAACCTAAAAACAGCATCTCATTTAAAATGACCCAGATGAAAGCAGCCTGCTTCTACCTCAGGGGACTCTGACCTCAATTTACCTTGGCGCTAGGGACCAGAAGCCTGCACAAAATCCAGTGTATAAGCTACACTCTAACACATCCAATGCCAGCCCCTTGGGCCCCAGGAGAGTCTGTGTGCAGTTTCCAGAAACACACAGAGCACGGTTCCCTACAAGGACTTTTCTGCTTCAGAGTGACATTATAAACATGCTGGAAAAACATTCTCTCGCCGGTGTGGTGGCACACACCTTTAGTCCCATCACTTAGAAGGCAGAGGCAGGCAGATCTCTGTGAGTTCCAGGCCAGCCTTGTCTACAAAGTGAGTTCCAGGCCAGCTGGGGCTACAGGGAGACCCTGTCTCAAAAAGACAAAAAAAAAAAAAAAAAAAAGGAAAATGTATAAACGTGTGTGTGTGTGTGTGTGTGTGTGTGTGTGTGTGTGTGTGTTCTTTGGATGATCTTGCCATGAAGCACAAGCTGGCCTGGAACTTGCCATCCTCCTGCTCGGCCAAGGCCTGTGTCACTGTGCCTGGTTTTCCTGCTTCTCTCCCAAGAGGACTCACACATGTTCTGTGAAAACGCCTCTTTCTCTAACTGTGGTCTCAGAGAAGAGCATTGCTTAGGGGTGGGGAGACAACAGCAGGAAGATGAGGGTCAGAAAAATAGGCACAAAGAGGGATCTGCAGATGGGGGTAGATGGGAAGGAAGAACAGGGCCAGGGTAATGGGGTGGGGCTGAGACAGAGAGTTATAAAGCTGTGAGGGTTAACCTTTTCAATTCAATTGGATCTACAATTATGATGGAAACAAATCTCTGGGCATGTCTGTGAGGAAGTTTCTAGATTATGTTAATTGAGGTGCAAAGACCCACCCTAAATATGGGCGGCACCATCCCATGGGGTGGGGTCCTGAACTGAATAAAAAGGAGAAACCAAACTGAGCTCCAGCATCCATCTCTCTGCTTCCTGACTGTGGATGCCATGTGAGCAGCTGCCTCATGCTCCTGCTGTCATGCCTTCCCTCCATGATGGACCGCACCCTACACTGTGAACCCAAGTGAACCCTTCCTCCCTTAAGTTGCTCTTGTCAGGTATTGTGTCACAGCGATAAGACAAGTAATTAATACCGAAGTGCTAGAAGACCAGCTCCTGAGAGGACAGGAGCCTTGGCCATCTGCTGAGGGAGACATACATGTATCAGGGGCTTCTCTGGACATGGAGAGCCGAGAGGAGGCAGCCAGGAGTCAACAGTAGAGTAACCAGCAACCAAGTGAAAAGGGAACAAGGCAACTGTACAGGCATCTCTCTTAATGTAACCAGATGGCCAGGAAGCCCATAAAGAGGTGCTCACACTGTGGCTAACAGTCAGGGAAGCACCAGAGAAATCACAGCGAGATAGCCAGCACTGGCCAAAAAAGAAAGGAAGCTGGAACCCGTGGGCACTGTTGGTGGGAAGGTAAAATGGTGTAGCCACTATGGAAAGCTGAAAGGCAGATCCTAAGAATGCAAAAACAGGATGATCATTTGGTCCAACAATTCCCTGCCTGGAAGAAGGGTAAGAGAGCTATATTCCCAGTCCTTGCCTCCAGCATCTTCTCTATCACCTAACCCCATCCTGTTTGGAAAGGGTTAGTGGCTAGCCCCTCCCTGAAGCAAGACTCAACTGCTTCCCTATACACTTTTTTTTTTTTTTTTTTTTTTTTTTTTGTCTTTTGTGAGACAGGGTCTCCCTGTAGCCCCAGCTGACCTGGAACTCACTATGTAGATCAGGCTGGCCTCAAAGTCATGGAGATCCCCCTGCTTCTGCCTCCTAAGTGCTGGGATTAAAGGTGTGCATCAGCATGCCCAGCTTTCCCTATACTTTTTGTGACTACCTAAGGATCCCTTTCTTAGCCACACCTCAGCCTGACCTCCAAGGTCCCTGGGGTAGAGCTAGCTGCCATTCCTCCTCTACCAACCACCTTCTTCTGTGAGCTCCCCCTGCAGCACCCCTCACCCACCCCACAGTTGCTAGAGCAGGTGTCATATAACCCCCGAACAGGTCAGGGCCCCATCCTGGTGGCAGGACACCAGTCCCTAAATCCTCCAAGCAGAGGAAGAGAAGAGTACACTGGTGGCTGTCCCCCCCTGTGGGTGAGGGGTCCCCCCTTGGTCATCCCTGAAAGAATGTATCCACCCCACTTTTGAAATGGCCTTGGTGCCACCACCCACCTGTGCCAGTGCAGGCTCTGAGAACAGAGTGTCATCCTCTTCATCTTGCTGGGTGGCAGGAGATGGTGGCTTCTCTGGGGGCTTGGTGGGGGTGGCTTTAGGCAGTGAGCTAGCAGGGACCTGCACAGGCTGGGGTGCCTCTTGCTCCATGCTCTCACTGGGAAGGGCTCGCTGCTCTTGGGGTGCAGCCCTGGCCTCCCTGTCTTTTGTGGGGGCTTCCTGGCGGTAGCAAGCTGGCAGAACCTTCTCCCCCTTCTCCATGGACTTGATCTGGCTTGGTGTCAGAGACTGGAACTCTGCCTCAGGATCCTCCCGAGAGCGTTCGGCATTGATCTTCCAAAAGGATGCTTCCTCTTCCTTCCGGGCCGGGCCCAGGGCATCCAGGCTAGAGGACCTGCTGCCCTGGGGGGGCTTGACAGCCTGAGAGCCCTGGGGAGTCTTGGCCGCTGGCCTGGGCTCACTGGCCATGGTGGCCGTGCCAGGCTCCTGGATGGATAAAGAAGAGATGCTGAACTCCATCTGACTCTGTGGGAAGACAAACAGGAACCAGCCTTAGAATCTTCCGGAATAGACACCCAGCTCACACATGCTTTTCCCCACATGTATGCAGACACCACAAAAACAAGAACTGGTGCCCATTTGCTGGAACTTTCTGTTAGTCTCAAGTGACTATTTTTTAAAATTTATTTATGTGTATGAGTGTTTTGCCTACATATATGCAAGTGCACCTATGTATGCAATGCCCTTGGAGGTCAGAACAAGGTGTTGGATCCCCTGGAACTGGAGTTATGTATGGTAACTGTTAGCCACTATGTGAATGCTGGGAACTGAACCCAGGTCCTTTGCAAGAGCAGCCAGTGCTCCTTTATAACTGCTGACCCTTGATCCCAGTCAGGGTCACTGGATGTCTTCCTGCACACAGTTCACCCAGTCTGAAATATCACACAGCAAAAATTTAACATTTAAACCCTTGTCTGCATGGTTTCAGATGTACCTTGCACACTGCTTCCCATAGCTAGCTCTGGTCTTACGCCCTAGCTGTAGATCAGTTATTTCTGGTCAATGAGTTAATCATTTCAACCTGTGCTGACTCATGAACCACTGTCTTTATGATGGCAGTGCACAAGGCATCACCTGGTAAATGGATCAGCCTGGTTTTGTTTTTTTGAGAGAGCAAGAATATTACATTACTTTACATTGACAGTGACACTGTGTCAAAGCACAGAGAAGGGGCAGTGGATAGACAAGATGGCCAGTCTTCCTGTTCCCTAACCAGCCTGGAAGCCCCTCACCCTGCCTCTCTGTGAAGTGGGAAGAGCTAGGGACTGGAGACCAGGAGCTTGAAGCTTGGAGGGTGGTAGCAGGGAGACCTCTGGCAGCAAGAGATCTGGGGAGCCCTAGCACAGGCCTTCAGCAGTGAACACACCCTTGGTCTTGTGCAGGGTAGAGTCCTTAGCTGTGTAAAAATATGAAGTCTTTTAGTAATTTACCTACATTCTCAGAAATAACAAGATGCTTGGGGCTGGAGAAATGGCTCAGATTTACATCACTGGCTGTTTCTGCAGAGGACCCAGGTTCAATTCCCAGCATCCACATGGCAATTAACAAAGGTCTGTTAACTTCAGTTCCAGGGGAATCCAACACCTTCTTCTGACCTCCATGAGCAATGCATGACATGGGTGCACTTACATACATGGAGGCAATATACTCATACACATAAAATAAAAATAATATTTTTTAAAACGATAATAAGCTGGGCGTGGTGGCACACACCTGTAGTCCCAGCACTTGGGAGGCAGAGGCAGGTGGATCTCTGTGAGTTCAAGGCCAGCCTGGTCTACATAGTGAGTTCCAGGACAGCTGGGGCTACAGGGAGACCCTGTCTCAAAAGGAAAAAAAAAAAAGATAACAAGATTCTCTCAGGGTTCCCATCCACATGCAGGGCCCTTCCTCAGGGGGAACACAGCCTTTCTCCCACATGAGCCACAGGATCAAGATAGCATGCCATGCAGGTTCCCCAGATCTGAAGTCAGTGGCCACCCCTCAGATCTAGAGGATGTGACAAAAAAACCCAAGCCCAAATTGTGAGCCCAGGCAGCCTCAAAATGTGACCACCATAGGAAATAAAACCCAAGGAACAGCCATCCACACTCCAGCTCTGTAAGGGGCTACAGTGAAGAGCCAGCGCAGCTGACTGAGTGGGTCCAGCATGGCAGGTGCACACAGGGTGAGAAAATGGTGGTGTATGCTTGTGATCCCCAGAACTAGTGAGGTTGAGGCAGGACTTCAGGATCCAGCCTGGACTTTGTCTCAGCATCAGTACCCCGTAAGGAAAAAGAAAAGAAAAAGCAAAGGAGATGGAGATGCTGAACACTTATTTGCCCCAAGTCCCTAGTCCACTAGAAGACTCTGTAGCTAGGTCTACTGACTCTAAGACCTGGATACAGAGATAAGAAGTCAGGGGCCAGGGGCTGGAGAAATGGCTCAATGGTTAAGAGCACTGGCTGCTCTTGAGGAGCACCTGGGTTTGATTCCCAGCACCCACATGGCAGCTAACAACCATCTGAAACTCCAGTTCCAGGGGATCTGACTGTTTTGATCTCTACAGGCATTTCATGACACGGGTGCACTTAGATACATGCAGGCAATATACTCATACACATAAAAATTAAAAAATAAAATTTTTTTAAAAAAAGAAGTCAGGAGCCAGCAGGTACAGTGTCCATGGAAACATTGGAGTCTTGTCCATCACAAGTTTGTGTACATTTATGGTCTGATCTGACTTTGAAAGGATCATTTATTTTTGTGATTTTTTCTTTCCTTTCTTTCTCTTTTCTTCCTTTCCTTTTTATCTTATGTTTTTGAGAGAGGGTCCCATATAGCCCAGAGCTTCAAACTCTCTATATAGCCAAGGCTGCTCTTGAGCTTCTGATCTTCTTGTCTCCAGCTCCAGTGCTAAGATTACAGGTACAAGCCACTATGCCTGGCTTAAAGACCATTTTTGAGTTTGGCTTTCTAAACATTGCCTATTTTCAAATTCCCCAGCAGGACACAGAGCTGCTGGTACAGACACGATGGTTTCCTTAAGTAAGCAAACTGCTAAAAATAGCTCAGAAGTGGCCCAAGACTCACAGATGGGTTTGATCTGGAAATTATGGTGTAAGGAAGGCACTTAAAATCATACTTTGCCACACCCAGGCTTTTGGGGGGGACCCCCTCCACCTTCTCTGGAAGGATCTTTGCCTAGAAGCCTATGGATCATGAAGCCAGGCATCCTGTTATGTGGGCAGCCAGATGCTGTGGAGGGAATTCAAGCACGGGATCTGAGGTCATGTCACTATGGAGTGACAGCTGCTTCCATCAGACCATGGTAATCAGATGCCTGTGGGCAGCTCCCCAGGGGAGGGTGACATCAGGTTAGAGGGAACATGCTGCCAGGAGCAGGTACCTGCTTTGGGGACAGGAAAACAAGAACCAAATCAAAAAGGAGCTAGAGTACTGTGACCCATGCCCATAATCCCAGCACTCAGGAGGCTATTGCAGGAGGACTGCTGTGAGTTTGATATCAGCCTGGGCTACACAGTGAATACCCAGCCAGCAAGTCACAGCAATAACCTGTATCAAAAAACAGAAAAACAAGAAGGGGGAGGAAGAGGAGGAGGGGAACAAGGAGGAGAAAAGGGGAGGGAGGGGAAGAGGAGGAGGAGAGGAGGGAGGGGAAGGAGAAGAGGAGGAGGAGGAGAGGAGGGAGGGGAAGAGGAGGAGGAGGAGAGGAGGGAGGGGAAGGAGAAGAGGAGGAGGAGGAAGAGAAAAGGGAGGGAAGGAAGAGAAGGGGGAGGAGGTAGCTCCTGTTTCTATTTCTGTGTTCGTGACAACCTTAAATTTGCATGTGAAGTGCTACTAAAGTTACAAGCTGACCCCCTCCTTCCCCTTGCTGGTGAAGGACCTCTCACACACTCACCACACAGGACTGTGACACAAGATTTCCAAACACAATCTGGTGGGATGAGAGGGGAAGGAGATGTTTCCTCTCCCTGTTTACCTCAGCTAGGCTGAAGAACCACAGAATGGGCTTGGCAGGGCCATGAGAGATTGGGGCAGCAGCATCCATCCTGTGTGGCCCCATTCTTGTGGTTGCCATCATAGCCCACTAGGAACTGACCTTCCTTATACCTTTCTCTCAAAACCACTGACACAGTGTGACGGTCCTGGGCTCATGGAAGATGAAGAGAATGGAAGCATTCCCAGAACCCCTAGGCCTTGTGAGGAGCCATGGAACAGGACAACAGATGGATGACAGAACCCGTGGAGAACATCATGGCTTAGGCTCCACAGCCTCAGCTGTGGGCACTATAAGGGGGGACCCCAGAGCAGCACCCTCAGATCTCCTATTCCAAGCTTAGACTTAGCCCACAAGTCCTAGCTAGGGACAATAGAAATCAAGCCCTCAGGGCCCAGAGCAAGTCAAGAGACCAACACCTGGTGGGAAGCCACCAAGGATACTACAATCACCCAGACCTCATGTTCTCAGAGGCAGAAGTTGGCTCAGACCACAGACCACACAGCTTGGGAAGACTAGTCCAGTGGTTTTAGCTGATTGAGCATGTACTCTAGGCCAATGACCATGGGAAACCTTTAGATACTGGCTCCTGTGCTCTTTGCAGAGGTAAAACAAGGGGAGCAGAATCATTATCCCCTTTTCATTAAAAAGTGCCATCTCTAACTGGGGCCCATGCAGGCCAAGGCTGGGGAGCAGAGACAGGAAGCTGATAGATGCCAGAGGCAAGTTTCTCCTTGCTGGAAAACAGCCCATCTTTTTCAGGCATGGGAAAGGTCATGGCAGCCTCTTACAGTGCACAGGCGGCTGAGCCAGCCCTGCAGGAGTGTGCTGCACAGAGGATGACAGGAACGACAGCGGTCACAGAAAGGGTTGGGACTCAACTCATTGTCTTCTGTGATCCTGGAGACCAGAGATGGAAGAGGAAGGAAGGAGGCAGTTTGGTTTATGGCAGCACCCTGTCTGCCTCCACACCCCTGGGCTCCAGCATCCACTCGGACCCAACCAGCCAGCAGGGCTGGGTGTCAGTCAAACCATGTAGAGAACGGATCTCTGCTGGCCACATCCATTCTAAAAACAACAAGACCACAACAGAGCCCGGAATCTATTTTTATGTTCCACTCACTGGAGAGGAATGTGTGATATTCAGCAAAGGGGGAGTACATGCCACCAAAAAGAACTGTTTGACTTGGCAGCCACCCGCAATTCCAAACTATTGAGACAAAGGCTACGGTCAGAAAGAATTGCAGTTTACAGGAGCAAATCCCCCATCACTTCTCCAGATGCTTAACATGTGTTCTTTCCTTCTCCCCTCTAAAAAGGAAGAAGGACATCTAGAAAATTTTGAGAACCACAAAATTAGCAAAGAGACCATCTGAAAGGGACAAGCCAGCATGATGAGGTGGCTGGAAACACAAGTGGCCATGCCTTGTGAATACCCACTTTACATCCTAAGGTGTCTGTGTAG